AGGGAAAGATGAGAGAGAAGCAATGTGAAGAGAAAGGCAAATAATGAGTTCGTGTGGGAGTGGAGTGGTTAAACTGAAAAGGGATGAACAAAGAAGGGAATGCACAGAACTGGAAATAAAAAGTGGAAGAAAAAACGGACACAAGTGAAAGAGAGAATGAGATTGCATTGGATAGGACAGATAAGAGGAAAGACTTAGGAAAGGCAGAGTGAAAGGTAAACAGAAGTTACAGAAGATAAAACTTCTTAGTCCTCGTTTTCAGAAAAAAAAAGCTGACTAACTTGGAAATCAGCTGTGCATTTTTCGTGTAATGGAAACTTCCTGAGCGAACAAGCCGGGGGGTGCAGAGACTTCCTGGAGCCCGTTGTGGACACAGATGCCATCACAAAACAGGAGCGGCACAGTATTCTGCTGAGCACCATTAAGTTTCTTACCTTCCATGCAAAATAGATACCGAGATTGCACCTCTTAGATTGCCTTAGAATAGCTTATTATAGGACCCAAGTTAAATCCAACATTCTGGAGAAGAGGAAGATAGGGATTGTCTTATTTTACTTTGGCCCAAATCTTCTAAACCAATTGCACCTACAACTTGGCAAGATCCTGAAAATGCACCTGCCTTTACTGCACCGCATCTTGCATCCTCATCAAACAGTCCTGCTAGTTTTGCCTAGAGAGCTGCTGAAGACACTACAAACAATATCCCATCCCAACAGAAAGGTGTCACAGTGCCAGGCAGCAGACACGAGAATGCTGATTAAAACCAGATATTTCTATGTAAGAGCTATAAACTGGATTGCATAAAGGTTTTTAAACTAACTACTGAGATTTTTTTTGCTTGTTTAAAATAAAAGCCCTTTTTCAACAGATAGGAAATTCTATGGGAAGATACCATTTTTCATTAAATACTTTTCAACATGCACATCCTAAGGTAGGCAAAGGCAGGTCTAATGATACAGCTATACACGTTTTTGTAAGATATCTTTGGCATCCCAGAAATCCAAGTCTGCTACATGTGTGCTATTCTAGTACAGCATACTAGATAAACACTGGATACCTACTAAAGTTGGAATTAGGTTTTCCAAAGGAAGAATGTTCAAGAAAAATGAAAATATTCAAAGAACTGCAGCTGACACTATGACACTTTCACTAAGTCACCTTGTCCAACTGAGCCTAGCCCTTCCCTGGCCCTACCAGCAAAAAAAATTCTCCTGCGGGAATTTGAACTACTGCAGATCTCAGGTTAAGTTGCTACAAATAATGTAACTAGTTGCAACTTCTTTAGTCCAAAAGAGTTGTAAGCCATGCATCATACCTCCAACAAAGCTGTTCTCCTTTGCTGTCTCTGTTTTGACAGTGATCTGATTAGATGTCTTCATCTTTGAGGTATTAATGGATTCCAGGAGGGAGACAAACTCTAGAAAGTTAGATTCATTGGGCACCTGCCCTTCTTTAGCTTCTAGATCTGATTTAGAGGTTGGTAAGGTCTTTTCTTTGTCAGATACTTCCATGAAATTCTTACTTAAAAGCACATCTGTCCCACTGTCTACGCTCAGCACCCGCATGTGCCTCTTCTCATGAGCAGTTCTACAGGACTGTGGGTCTAGGTTTTGCTGGTCTTCCTTAGAAGTTAAATCCATGGTCTGGACATTTTCAGAAGCATTCTCCCGATTTGGGTCTGAACAAGTGTTAGTTTCTAAAGGAGTATTTGCTGGGTTGCTGTGTTCCTTCACTGCATCACCCGATTCATAGCCAGAACATTGGTTGGACGACAGCTCTGCCCTTAAATTTTCTGGAGTTCTTTCGCTTTCACTAACTTCTGGGCAAGTCTTACCTTTACTGTCATCAGACAGGTCAAAAGTGATAACAGGGATTCTGAGCTGCTCATTAGTTTGCTGACTTGGCCAGCCTGCTGTAACTATACCAGACTCGAGAGCTGAGCTCGTTCTCTCAGTTCCCAGAGCCTTTAGGTGGACAGAGCCCGCTAGGTCACTGAGGGTGGTGTTTGGTGTAGTGCTCATCGTGATGACAATTTTAATGGGCTCACATAGCTGGTCTCCAAGAATAGAGTTGTCCACAACTGCAACAGCAGTCTCACTGTCCGAGCAATCAAGGTCCTCATGGGTATTAGCAGCATCGCAAGAACTTTCCACGTGCTCAGGATCTTTGGTTGCAATGGCATCGCGCTGTAGGCAGTTACTGGTAAAGCCTGTCTGTGGTGATCCATCTGGCAATTTCTCTCTCTTGTAGCTTTTAGGATTACTCAAATGATCCGAAATAACTGAATTTTCACTGTCCCATGGGTCTGAAGAAACTCCAGTCCTTAAAATATCACCTTGGGATGAAGAAATATTGGAGAAATTTTTAGCTACATCTCTGTCCACAAGAATATCTTGGGATCCACGCTGGCCATATGGCTGTCCGCTCCCTCCTTTTTCATTTATTCCACCGCCAGAAAGTGTTTCCATAGCAGCTGGTTTTGTCACTATTGCTGATGTGGTGGTACCTGAAGCGGAGGCTGTAGAAACAGGTAATATATCTGCTTTTCCACAGGGTGAGGTAGATGAAACTGGTGGCGCAGCCTGGTCTTCTAATACCGTAACTCCTATTAAAAAACAAATGGGAGTTAGGTCTCACAAACATGAACACTGTGCATCATTGAAGTATGACATTTAGCTAGCAAAATCTGATGCAGAGCAGAGCAAAGATGATGTAGCTGATTAGAACAGTTCCTACATAAGGATCTTTATTGTTAACCACACGTGAAATACTATATAAGCAAGCTGGAATCCTTCCAGGTCAGGACAGGTGTAGCAGCATGTCTATTTAATTTAAATGAACAAAATAGCTCATGAAGCAGATTAAAAAAAAAAATGTTTTCCCGAATTATCCCCACTTAGGGAGAGATGAAAGAAAGAATAAGCCAGTGCAGCATAAGTTTGCTACAGCACTTTGTGATATTTCTAAATGATCCATAGGTTGTAGTGATCAGCCTTAACAAAAAGAAGATAAAATAAAATACACTGAGACATCTCAAGCACTGGAACTAGTAGACAAAGCAAGGTGAGCTGCAGTATACACTACAGAGCTAAAGGTCAACAATCGCAACAGGAATCTCCAATCAAAAGATGTTTAAGAGCTTTAAGATGGGATCCGAGCATTGGCTTCCTGCTTCAATGCTTCACAGAGGCATAGTGTTTCCCAAGAACAAAATGGGAAGGTTCTTTCATCTCCCCATCTCAAAAAGGGGGAGCGCTACTTGCATGCTCACGAACGGCTGCATCCCAAACAGCTTGGCTCACAGTTGAGAAGCTCAGTCTTTGTTTTCTCAAGCTTTCCCATTCAGCTCCTAACACGAGGCACAACTGAGTCTGCCTTGAGGCCCCCCATGCCATTTTTTTGGTGGTGAGCAATGATTAAACAAAGGTTTAAAGGGATTTATAAAGCCTTTAAAATACCTCTGAGATCTTCAATAGTTTCCTGTGTTGGCAGCTCCTAAAAATAAACATGCAAAATTAGCATGGGCATTTATTAAATTCTGTTAGAAAAAGCATCTATCAATGCAATAGCTATCTAATCAAAGGTTAATTACAGCATTGATAACTTGCTTGACATAACTGAAATTTGAACACGTACCTTGCACAAAATGCAAGGGGTAGGTGAGGAAGATAGTTATAAAACAGTCATGCTCCAAATTGCATCACTGCAATTGTGTGTGCCATTTGGGGAAAAAAAAATAATCTAAGAGTTTAAACCAAACAAACAAACAAAAAAATTTTCCAGTGCCTACTCTGGATTTTTTTTTAATCATTAAGGAATAGAACATGTTAATTTGTTCCTCTTTTCCAGCTACATGTTTCCAAAGCAGTAAAACAAAAAGATTGGTCTCCAGTACTTGGTAACAATTTCTCAATGGAAAACTAGATGACAGAGCCATTAAATTATTGTAGAATCGTTGAGATTGCAAGGAAGCTTTGGAGGTCATTTAGTCCAGATGTTCTCCACCATACACACATGTTCAAAGCAGGTACAGTTAGAGCAGGTTGCTCAGAGTCATCTCCATCAAAGCTTTGACTATCTCCAAAGACATCTTCTTCCAGTGTTTGACCACCCTCTTAGTAGGGGAAAAAAATGTACAACCAAAAATAAAAACAAACCAACAAACACACAAAAACAACACTAGATCTAATTGATCTAGTTAGAGCTTTCCATGGCTGTAAGTTGCAGCCACTGTCTCTTATCCTGTCACTGGGCACCTCCAAGAAGAGAGAGCCCAATCTTCTCTGTATCTTACTCTTTGGAAGCTGAAGCCAGCAGTAAGATCTTCTAGTCTTGTGAAAGGTTTTAGCCTTACAAAGGCTAGAACATCCCATCTGCCTGTCCTCATACATCATGTACCTCATTCCTCAATCACCTTGGAGGCCTCTGCTGGATTCTCATCAGCACATCAGCGTATGTGGGAGCTCAAAGTTAAACACAATACTCTGGAGGAATACTTCGCAAGTCTCAGTTCAACAGCCTAAGTGCATAACTAGAAAAAAAGTTCTTGGGTAAAAATAATGTGGTTCTCTTCTGCCTGACAGGCATCAAAACCAAGAGCAGATAATTATGAGCAGTCAACGTGGTTTTGCCAAGGGGAAGTCATGTTTGATCAACCCAATAGCCTTTTATAAAGACATAACCAGGTGGATGAATGATGGCAGTGCAGTGAATGTGTTTTATCTGGATTTCAGTAAAGCATTTGACACCGTCTCCCACAGCATTCCCACAGCTAAACTGAGGAAGTATGGTCTGGAGGATCAGGTAGTGAGGTGGATGGTGAACTGGTTGAAGGGAAGAAGCCAGAGAGTTGTGGTCAATGGGGCAGAGTCCAGTTGGCAGCCTGTGTCTAGTGGGGTCCCTCAGGGGTCAGTGCTGGGACTAGTACTATTCAATACATTCCTCAACGACCTGGACAAGGGAAGTTTGCTGATGACACAAAGCTGGGAGGAGTGGCTGACACACCAGAAGGCTGTGCTGCCATTCAGAGAGACCTGGACAGGCTGGAGGGCTGGGCAGGTAGAAATGTTATGAAATATAACAACGGCAACTGTAGAATCTTGCACCTGGGAAAGAACTACCCATGTGCCAGTATAGGTTAGGGACTGAACTTCTGGAGAGCAGCGCAGGGGAAAAGGACCTGGGGGTCCTGGTGTACAGCAGGATGCCCATGAGCCAGCAATGTGCCCTCGTGGCCAAGAAGGCCAAGGGCATCCTGGGGTGTATTAGAAGCAGAGTAGCTAGTAGGTCAATAGTTGGACTCTGATCTCCAGAGGTCCCTTCTAACCCCTAACATTCTGTGATTCTGTGAGAGAGGTTCTCCTGCTCTTCTACTCTGCCCTGGTGAGGCCACATCTGGAATATTCTGTCCAGTTCTGGGCCCCTCAGTTCAAGAGGGACAGGGAACTGCTTGAGAGTCCAGCGCAGAGCCACAGAGATGATGAAGGGAGTGGAACATCTCCCTGATGAGGAAAGGCTGAAGGAGCCGGGTCTCTTTAGCTTGGAGAAGAGGAGACTGAGGGGTGACCTCATTAATGTTTATAAACATGCAAAGGGTGAGCGTCAAGAGGACAGAGCTAGGCTTTTCTCAGTGATGTCCAGTGACAGGACAAGGGACAATGGATGCAAACCAGAGCATAAGAGCCTCCACAAAAACATAAGGAAAAACTTTGTCATCGTGAGGGTGAGAGATCACTGGCACAGGCTGCCCAGAGAGGTTGTGGAGTCTCCTTCTCTGGAGACTTTCCAAACCTCCCTGGATACGTTTCTGTGTGATCTACTGTAGGTGATCCTGCTCTGGCAGGGGGTTGGACTAGATGATCTTTTGAGGTCCCTTCCAACCCCAAACATTCTGTGATTCTGTAATTATCTCCTAAAATGTCATGGTTGTATCCTGGCAGCAAGAACAGGAGAATAGATTTCACAAGACACATCCTACATGCTTGAAAGTGGGAGACTTGGATGAGATCCCAAGAAGAAATGAGTTTGCAGAATGGACAAATACCAGAATACTGAGGACTCAGACAGAAACAAGGTGAAAGATATTTTACCTCATAAAATTAAAAAAAAACCCAAACTGCTAATGTCTGTGAAAAATACAGATGCTACGAAAAGGTAAAAACACTCCAGGAAATGAGGAAATAGTTCTGATTCAGATCAGGATTTTAATAGGGATACAAGGTGGGAGTGGAGGGATATGAAAACAGAAAGAAGTATCAAATAGCTACTTATTCAGAGATCACTAACCATCCTCTGTACTCACTGAAGCAGGAGTCCTGTAGAAAAAATAGCATGGGATCACATAATTAAAGATTTTATCACAGTCTGTATGGGGAGTAGCTTAAGATTACACAGACATCGTTATTCTGTTTCTTAATTTTTTCTCATGCGTGTTTCCTATTTCTTCTTTAGAAACATCAACATGCATCCCCTTCATCCCTTCATACACTATTGATTTTAAAAGTATGACCAATAGCATGAAATGTGCATAGATGTATTTTCAACCTCATGTAGACACCTCCTAGATTTAAATAATGGGGGTTTTTTTGTTTGTTTAAATACTCAAGAGAGGCATTGAGTTCATTTTCTAAGCATAAGTCTAGTTATAGGAAACTAAATTATTAATATTCCAGGAGCAGATCCCTTCCAAGGCACCAAGAGGCTGCTCTGATCGTGGTAGCCTCTCCCTTCTCCTAAAGTGGCCACAAAACGAGTTGCTCTTGGCAAGATTTAGAAAGGCCATTTGGTATCTATAGAGCAGACAGACTCCTCCTAAAAAGCGCAGAATTATGTATATCAGTTCCAGCTTTGCAAACCCAAACCTTTAGGACAAGGCTGACCGACAGCAGCGGTATACCTAGTAGATCCACTAACAAACCTTCCTTCTCAGGGGTCAGGTGACCAGTGCCTGGCAAGACAAAACTCCACGGTGTAAGCCATGTGCTGCACAAAGTAAAGACACTATTATAGAAAACTGCGCACTAACCGTTGCTCCAGGTGAGTTTGGCGAGTGCACAGCCTGCGCCCTTGAACTGTCATGAATTGTTTGGGTAGAGTCATCCTGGTTGGTCTCACCAACGACATCATCATCCTGGGTGTTATTCCTGAAAAGAAAGCAAATGAAAAAAATGAAGCAATGCTTCTTCCCACAGACAATCGCAGCGAGTTTTGGGAAGAAGCTGAGGAGTAACAACAGAATAGGAAGAAGTAGCCCAGCACAGTGAAGTGACAGCACGTTTTTCCCCTCCAATGCTAAAAGCACAGGGCTGAAAAATACTGTAACCCCTTGGTGTCCTTCCTTACCAAGACAACTTGCTAAAAAAAAAATTTTAAAAAAATCCCTCAATATACAATGTTTCCTGTGTCTTAGGAAGTAGAGCATTACTATGAGAAATACAACAACATCTCTTCAAACTCTCTATGTGCATGTAATGTCATTTAGCCTGCCTGATGCACACAGATTTATGGCAGAAAAGGCTGATAGTGGCTTCTCATTAGACATAAGAGTCAAACACTAATCCTTTCACAATTTTTACTTTTTACATCCTTTGACCGCACCTTTGTGTAGATACTGCTTTTCTGTCTGTTTATTTACAAACCTCCCATCAAACAACTATTTGAAATACAAAACATAATGTGTACTAATACAATTATCAGAGCATAAAATAAAGTTGTTCCTCTGGTTTTAGCCAAGGCAAGTATATATCCACTACTAATTTCATATGTTATAAGGCAACTTTTTGATCACTTTCTTTGTGGATGCATTCAACTATCTACTAACTCTTTTTACAGATATTTTCTACTAGCTTTTCCATGGATACGAGTGAGTACTTTTGGGACAAGATTTACCAACAAGAACCAACATATGTTCTCTTTCTCAGGTATAACACAACAAACAACAAAAATTCATTTTTAAAAATCAAAATCAAAATCAACAGTGTAGTCGTGTAGTGAAATGCCAAGAAGTGTGAGTTTGGGCTTTTTTGTTTGTTTGTGAGGCTGGGATTTTTTTTCTACGAAAAACACACTTTTAAAACTCTACAGTTATATATAAAGCTATAAAATTACTAAACTGGGGTGTCTCAGTCACTTTTTCACATTATTTTTTTGTAGTTACCTGGCTTCAAAAACTTGTTCAACCAACCTGTCAAATACCAGTGCCTGTTTAATAACTTCTGTCATTCATCTGGTCAAAATACTAAGTATTTATTTCTGATTAAGTACTACATAATGCACTGTTGTGCCTAGGCCCTCCTAAGGAAGAACAGTTATATGATTTAACACGCACCTTATTTCAGCATTTTTTATATCTGCCATAACACTTGGGAACACTAGAAGCCACTTGCCAGCTTCATTTGTTTGTATGACTCAAGCTTGAAAAAACATCGAGAGAGGTCTCCATTTACTCCAGGAGGTCTACAGCAAATATTCTACCTATACACAAACCTAGAAAATGTCAGTACTAGTCTTTAGCCCAGTACTGGTTTTACTTTTAATACCATCTCAACCTGGAAAGCAGCCTTATTGACTTTGATTGCTTATTTGCAAAGACACAGTACTTGACTCCTCTGTAGAGTGGCTGCAAATAACTCACCAAATGTCCCCGAGGAATAAAAGCGGGTCTAGCTTTCCTCATGAACAGGACCACAGACACATCATAGGCAGCCACAACAACACAAAAGGAGGAAAAGCAACTAGCATTTGGTTTTGATCTGAGAGGAAAGTCACTCTAAGCACACAAAGACAACATAAGCTCAGGATTTCAAAGCTGTGATATTGGAGCACAGCAGGAAGAGGAAAGAGCAAGCACTTAAGGCTTCCCAGAAAAACTTCTCCCAGGTTTTCTCCAGGATCTTTTAGCACCTCCCATACAGGTCTCTTCCTTCTGCCTTCATCATGCTCAGCTGCTTGCCCCACCCTCCAAATCTGGTGCAGCTCTGCCTGTTTCACCACAAGCATGGTGCAGCCACCAAAAATAAAAGCACCTTTTTTTTTTTTTTTTAAGCACCATTCTTCACACAACTGCAAAGAGTTCTCCTACAGTCAGTAGGCATTTCTGCTACGCAGGACCACGGTGCAAACTCGTCCCTTTCACAGAATGTACCAGCAACATGCAATGAAAACCTTACCTATGATTTGAGGGCTGAACTGTGTCTCCTTTTGGAACCTCCGTATCTTTACATTGCTTTCCATTTTTTCGTGAGAGCTTTTGCTGAATTACTTCGCCTTTATCAAACATAAGATGCAGACGATAACTGATCACCTTTATTACTGTGAAGAACACCGTCACTGAGCTGCAGTACACAAAAACCGTAACTGCATTCGCTGGGAAGGCCTACACAGAGAAAGAAAGATATAATCATAACAGTTTGTTTTGAGAAGATGCTCCTAAGTTTTTAAAGTAATTTTCAAACTCTTTGTTCCTAATTGCCTATTACTTGTACCTCTACTGAGTTTTGCAATGACAATCAGTAGTACACCTTCATAACAGTATACTTGAGTTCGGCTCACAAAAAAGGTCTAAGAATTTGTTCAAATTTCAAACTATTTTACAAGATTTATTCTCCTTTTCATTAGCTGTGGATATTATTTATTTCTTAACAAAGTCAGTAAAATTGACAAACACTGTAAAACCTCTTAAAATATTGCATTGCCAGGATAATGCAGCTAAGTCTTTCCTAAACTATGAATTTATAAAAATAAAGACACAAAATGCAACTTTAGTTATCTACGAACAGAAAACACCTTTTGAAAAATTCTATCATCTTACCCTGTTTCTCAGTTATGATTTAACAGTAAAACGCTGCAGTTTGATCTCCTTTTTCTAACACTTCACAGCACATTCCCAAGTATCTTCACCGCTGAAGAATTTTAAATAATTAATCAGGACTAGTCAAAACAAATGAATAAAATGGATTTGGAGAGGCAGACTCTTTGAATTCTATTTCTAAAGTTCATAATTGTTAATTTGAAGCTGTGTGATCTGTCTGCTGATCTATGATGAGCACTATATTTCCTTAGTCATTAAAATTAATTACAGTTCAACTATAGTCTGTGCAGTTCTTTCACAGACATGCCATGCTAACAACTTTTTAATATGTAAATACTTCCTTACAGTAAAGGGCAAATCACAGCAATGGACACTTGCAGTTATAACTGAAGGGTCAAAACTTTTATCATTACAGTCATGAAATGCCCTTACATATAGTGAGTTTAATCTCTTCTCAGGTTTGGGAGGTTTTTAAACAGAGCATTACTGTATCCCTCCACAATTTGTAGCAGGAGGGGTAGGAGAGTGAGGAAAGGAAAGTTTTCAACACTCAGGATTTGTTTAAAACCTACTGAAGTATATTTTTAAATAAGGTCTTTACTTTGGGCCTAAGTCTATCATTTGAAGCATCAGCATTGCAGGTCAAGAAGCATTTGGATGTGAGAGATTAGTATTCTTTACAGATTCATAAATAAACCATATTGACCACAAAAAGTGAAGGAAAGGGAACAAGGCACACTTACTTCATCTCTAAAATCACCATATCTTGATCTTGAAATTAGTATAGTGAATCATTTCTGTGTCACTACAAGCAAGCGCGTTGCTATTCTGCTGCTGCTTTTGACTTAGTGAGACTTCATACCTTCAAAACCTACACGTGAAAAGTTTTTACAACTACTCTGATTCAGATATAAAGAATCTATTGCACAAAAGTGGAGAAGCTATTTAGCGCATAGGTACTACTAATGATCTGTAATAAGAAAGACATTACTTTCTACAAGTTGAGGCTTAGTCTGCTTAAGAGTACTTTGTGCGACTATGTGTATACTGAAACTAAGCATAGCCTTCAGTTATTTAGTGAACTTGGGCCAGAGAGAGGATCAGTTTGCAAGGCCGTGCTCTCAGGGTATAAGGTTTGGTGGATGAAGCTGAAGAATTTGTGGTTTATGACTAACGTGTTTGCAAAACACAAGTTAAAAATTGCCTGGTTTCACAAAGAATGTTACCCATGTATCTGTTATGAATTGTTTAAATGAGAGATTTGTTCACTTTCCAAGGAAATCTCTTCAACTACACTCTAAAAAGCACAGGCCGACTGCTCATTATTAACTAACAGCTCAGAATCAGCCACTAGAAAAGAAATGCTCTGTAAGTGGCATTCATACAGCTTAATAAATATTATATGAATAATGTTAGGGGACATCACAAAAATAGACTTCCAGTAATGCAGCCCATAGGTGCGGAGAGTACACTACAAGAGAATCAAAGGAAGCTCATAGATTTCTAAAGGGGAAAGAGGGCCAGTTTTAGCACATGCCCAGTGCTGCGTGTCCTCACCCCTGCCTTGTGACCAGACCTGCCAGAGCTGCGCCCTGAGGACAAGACAGGCAGCGCTTCTCACCATGTACCTGCTGTGCGTGCTCACGATCCCAAACCTGCCTATCAGTCGTAAGGGCAGCGCATCCTTAATACTCTGTATCTTGGGGCAAGCTAAGGAGTCGGCACCTTGCTTCCTCCCTGGCCGCATGAGGAATTAGGAGAAAGATGAAGCTGAGAACAGAAAGCCCATGATTTTCTGTATCAGGCCTCTTGCATAATGGTACAAGTGTCATACACCTGCAGTTGGTGTTACCAGATGCAGACAGGTGAAAGCTATCGAATCTGCTTGAGCTAAGGAGGAATCAAGTTATAGACCACTGAGGAATTATAGGATAGATTCACTTTTGATGCACTCTAGTTATAATTAGCCTGGTTTCCCAGGGAAACAAAGTTTTATAATGAGACCGTGTGTCTGCGTATTCATCATCTCCCTCCATCCTCTGCTGGATAACTTTTTAGTGCTTTGGCTACTTTCAACTAACTTTGAGACAATGCTCCCCACTGGGACAGGGTCACAGCAGCACACCTCCTGTGCTAACGAGAGGAACCTGCACAGTTCTCTGTCCTTTTGAATGCCACCCCAGTGACAGGAAAAACTTCAACTGAGCTGACATCTTATTAGAAGCTAGGAAAAAAAAAAGACATCCACAAACACAAATTCATTAGAAAGCAAGCTTCATGGCATCCCACAGGCTTCTGTGAAAGCTGTAGCTCTAGCTTTCTCTGCTCTTGCCCAATTAAGAACTCTACCATAACGTACTTTTTGTTTTCCGGTAGCTTCTGTTGTTAGACCCTGCACCAGATCAGCGTGGGGTCACAGGCAGAAACACAGGCTGATGCATTCCAAATGTGGCCTGACTTCCTACTGCAAATGCAACAGAGCTGACCTGCCCAGGCAGGGAGGGCCTTTGCTTGGGGATTCTGCCCATCCAGAGATTGCTCCCGCAGGAACAGCCGAATCCCTCTTCACATGTCTACTATCCTTATTTGAGTAGCACAAAGGCTGAGGTGACAGAGCTACATACTTCCTAATATAAAGGTGTGTAACCCCTGGACAAAATGCCACACCTCCTAAATTGGGCTGAATGACTAAAGGTCATTAGACCAAGATGTAGCCCACGTGACGCTTGAGCACCTGAGGCATCTAAAGCAAGATGGTGCTGCACATGGGCCTCACTGTCTCATGCTACAGAATGCAAGAGAGGGAACGAGCAAATAAATACGCCGTCATCCACTACCATCGGAATTGCAGACGTACAAGTGGGACATACAACACTGGAGCCAAAGATAAATACTTTGATGTTAATTTAGCTGAATTAATAACTAAGACATGTCCATCACACAGTATAATACATGAGAAAACAGGTAGCAAATAAAATTCCACAAGTATACACACAGTTGTAAGTCAGCATCCTACTACACAATAACAGAGTAAATACGGTGTAGTTTACCTCTCTTTTGTTGCAGTATATGTATCCTTTCTTCTACAGGGAGAAAAAGTGGGGCAAAGTGTGGCCAAATGGGACTGAAAGCATCTGACACACTGGAAGTTTTATTACCGTTTACCTCTGAGTAATTTATGTGCCCACACCCATATACTGCCATGTTCTACTTCTATCACAGCATGATTTGAAGATCTAATAGGTAACAACCCTGTAAGTTCAGGGGCCTCCTGTTCCACAAAAGGCAGAAGAAACACTCACTAAGCCATTCTGAGGACTTGCTGTGCATGCGTATTCCCTTGCGGTTTGTAAAATAAGCCATAGTACAAGCATTCCCGAAGTTGCATCTCTGTGTCTCTGGGGCCAAATTCAGCCCAGTGGCTTTGTATAACAGTTACTTCTATTTCCATGCTCAAAACACCTGGGAGCCCTGAACTGTTTGACAGAATAAGATAACTTTAATTCTTAATCTATTATGAAAATCGATATGGCAAAGCCAGAAGAGATTTCATGGCAATTTTGAAAGTTGATTTTAATAGCAGTGATGCTCCAAATAATACCCATTGTGCATTTTTAATTGTATACTTACTACTACAAAGGATAAATAAGAAAAGGAAGAGATGGAAACACAGATACGCATTTTCGGGAGTGGGAATACTAGTAACAGAACATTAGCATCAAAGTAAACTCTGCTGACAAAGCTAGAGCACAAAATCCTCGATCCACATGATTGAAAAAACTTGATACTATAAGCTTCGCAACACTACTGTCAGCATGTCCCTGCTGAGCCAGTGTGAAAAATCTAAAAACAGCTGGACGCGTTTTGCCATTTCATTTAAACCAAACTGTTTCAAAGAGACTTTCTGACTTTCACAAAAGTGTCATTAAGGTTAACCCAATCAAAGGAAAATTTTAAAAAGTAGTACTCTTCTATGGTATGACTTTGCCATTTCAAGAAATGTCAATGGCAGCTTTAGCTGAATCCTAAATTATCGTGGTGAGGTGTATAACATACCACCCAAACATTACTGAATATAATACTAGAAAAAAACTCCCAAAGAAAACCTTTAGTAAAAAAGGAGATTCAGGTTTCTAAGCAGCAAAAAATATGAATCTTGCACAAAGTTTACAAAGCCAAACCACTTAAAAGCAAGAAAATAAATACTTAAGGACATAATTACTCTCAAGCAGACAGCATAGTAAATGCATTATTCTTATCAAGGATAAAGAATTCCCATAGCAATGCATTAGCTCAAGAACACAAGTCCTGCATTTAACCAGATGATTCATCAGAAAGTCAGCGAGTCTGCAGAAAAAGCAAGTCCATCTAGACAGGCAAAGATGAAACCTGAGAAAGAGTTTTTTTCAGCAGATAGGTTAGGTTCTCTCCCCTTCCCTTTAAATAATGACCTTCTGACCTACAATCTTTGTAGCCAGTGTTCTTTTGTGCAACCCTGCATGCCTTCTCCCATGGTATTCAGAAGTTCCCCAGGTGGAAATGCATATTCTTTCAGATACATTCTT